CAAACACCAGTGTCCGACTGTCAGCAGGAGCAACGAAGAAGACAGGAGCAGGAAGAACAGATCGACATAGATCGACCAAGTCCAAGGCCAATGACCGCGGAGTCCAGCGTGAAGTGCAAACAACGGATCACTACCCACTCCATGTATTGGGGTGGCTTAGGCATATATGGCAGTCCCATGGAGTGTCTGGATAGGAAACGAATGCCAAGTGTCGAATGCTGTCGTACCACGCGTCTAACGATCTGAAGAAAGGACACCAAGTCCAGGATCAAATGGAAGAGGGAACGTGGCACAAACGTCACAAACGTCACACACGAAAAAGAAATCAAAGCTTCAACACCAAGTCTCATGATCCGATTGAACGAGCCAAAACCATGGACAACTTGCACAAATTCTGCCCAGACGCTCCAAACAGCCCTTGGTCCCTCAAAACCTAGGGGTTTGAGACCCCAGACCCCTCCATATGAGGGCCCGACCCTCCATATGAGGGCCCATGAGCGTCTGGGTGGAACGTTTTACAAGCCAAACACTATCACAACCCCACTCAACTCCCCTCCAAAACTTCCCCCCACTTCCAGTTGCCACGTGCCTTGTCATCGATGCGAAGAAAAGACAGATTCCTATTTGGTCGCAAAGTACGCCGTTAGCTACAACAAGCATTTCCACCAACCCGCGCCCCTTCACCACTAAAGGCGGTTTCAAAGCCCAAAAAGGCAACGATCAAAACGCACATCACTGTATCATCATCCATATTAGTTGATCTCTTTTTAGTGATCCAGTGGTGGGGGCTTTGTGAATATGTCTTTCCCTTCCAATCCGCTCCAACCAGTGGCGCACCCGCTTTCGCCGCCACAACTCCAACCAACTTCGGTCCTTCATCTGCTTGGCAGTGGTGAGGGCCTTTGCCGGTCGGTCGAAGGACACCACGAGGTCTTCTTGGAAGGACACCAGGAGGACCGCCTCCCTGGAAGGCTGGGACAAAAAACAACAAAATATATTCCCCAGCCAGCTTATTCAGTTCGTGACCTTTTTGAAGGTTCCTAAGTGACCCTTAGGAGGCTTAAGTGACCTCAAACCAGGTTATCAAAAGGTCACTTTGAAGAACCGGGAGTGTATTCCCTAGATGTAATTATGGGGATTTACTCCAAAGGAAAATAAAAAGACATCACCGTACTAGGCAAAACCAGGTCTCACTTTTTGGGTTCCAATCTAGTCTTTCTAGTCATTCGAGTCTATCCCGGATGACCACCCCTCACACCTGAGGTCAGCAAATACCAACACCAACACTTCAGCACCCAAAACGACCCTCTAGTATCCTCTAATCAACCCTAGAAGTCCAAAGACTATATTTTGACCGGCTGAAGCAAAGGAAGTTCCCTTTCAGTTCCCCTAAAGACCATTCTTTTTATAGTCTTTGACTCCCAGGGTCAAGAGATTTCTGGACCAACACGACTGCACCTTTCTCGAAAAAACCATAAAGAACCCACCGGTGTCCCACACACCACACCAACTGGCGAACAGTCCGGACTCGCGCTCCACGGTCGGACCTTCCAGAAATACATCTGGGGAGAAAAAAAGGGTTTACCATCCCACCCTCTTCCCCCCCAAAAAAAAAAGGAAACGACCAGGCTTCAGTGTTCACCATCCCATCCCATGTGGAATCGAGTGGAATCCATCCCACACCACACAAAAAGAACACCAATCCCGCCCGCGTGAGTGTGAACGTCTCTCGGCCGTTCCTCGTCGGTTTCTTCTTCCGGTCTCGGGTTGGAACCCGGACGTGCTGGAGTTCATCGGCCAACTGCTGGATGCGTTCCAAGAGCTTCTCTCGCTCCTCCTCCGCATCGGCCTGCCGAGGAGGAGAAGTAGGGTCGCACGGTGTGGCCGGTCGTGGCCGGTCGTTTCGAAACGGCGCGTGCCGAAATCTGCGGTGGGGGTGCCAAACAGGAGGGGAGATGGGGTGACGGTTTCATGAACGGAAGAAGGGAAGAAGTGAAGTCATCTGACATGTTGGCAGTTTGTTTGCATAGAAATATCCTCTGTTATACTATATGCATAATTATGCATAATTACTATACTCATCCATAAGTATGGCTTGATGTATATAGATTCATCTAAGTCAAAGAAGCGCTTTCGAGCAATTTGACACATGTTTCAGCAATTCGCTTTTTTTCACCCTGCCACCAGTTCCACTGTCAGCCATCCAACTATTATGACCCTTTTGTACAGAAAACCACCACCCAGGTGAAGCATCCAGAAAAACCATCCACCAAACCTTCCCCTCCCCCAGTACCAACCGGGGCTCAGTACCCACAGCCCGCCGCGGAGGCCTTGCCTTCACGCGGAAGACGTTCTCCCGCTCCTCGGCCAGCTCCTGGCGCGGGTGTGTTGGATCGCTCGCAGCGTCCTCCGACCAGCAGAGGTGGAAGGTACTTCTGGTGAAATCCGGGTCCTATGGTCCCAGTCACTGGCTACCTCTGGACTCGGAAGCCGGGGAAAAAAAACCATGAGATTCACCAGGTTTCTGGGATTGGACCCAGTTCCGGAACTTAGACCATAAAACGTCGTCCTAATTGGAGCAAAACCAGGTTGTTTGGGGGAGGCGTTTTCGCGCTAGCTGCTAGCTCGCTCTGTGTCTGTTTCTTCCTCCCGTGATTGAGGAGTTAAACCTGCCCTCGCCAAACACATATATTTGTTTGGGACTGCAACACCGCTTGGATTGAACTCCCGCCTGTCTCAAAAGCACGATGATCTCTTCCTTCTTCGCGAGCTGACCAGGCATCTGCGCACAGTAGCCGTGGCTTTCACGGACTTTGTCGTTGTCATTCACCAAAAGTGGTTCTCGGGTCAGCTAGCTAGGGCCTAGGGACCACGGACGTTTTGTAAATTCATGTGTATTTATTCTCATCCTTAACTGACCCAAGCATTTTTCATGCTCCCCACTGGGCCGCATGCTCTAATTACTGGCCACTCGTGGTTTTTGGGGGGTTTCCGAGTCGAAGTGCTTGGTCATCCAAGTGGTCCCGGTCCCGCCGATGTGAAGGTCCCTCTGCACACCCCCAAAGATGTAATCTTCTTCTTTTTTCTAGGGGTTCATATAAGCCACCAAACTTGGGGATGATGCCATGTACTCTGAAACCCACTGAATTAAGGGATTGGCTGCAATAGGAAAAGACTCATCTTCAGCAACCCCATGAAGAGGAAGTAGGACTCGCCCCACACTGCCATCACCTCTGCCCACACGGCCATCACCTAACCAGAACCCCAGTGCAAGCAATCTCACAAGCAACCAGGACCCATGGTCGGGGTGCTTCATGGACACCCCTTATATAACCTCTAAAGGTGCAAAAGCATAGGCATAGTCCCCCGTACCGAACTGCCGAACTCCCTGGATGTTTACCATCTGGATGCACTTGTAAAGAAACAGCACGTGTTTCCAAGTGCAACTCACGCAACTTCACCTCGTTTCCAAGCACCATCACCGCTTCTCCATCATTCTGTTGGATGTGCACTCTTTTTTGTCAACACTGCGAGGCATTAAGTGCACCATGCCAGGGGCGAGGCGAAGTGGGCCGCTTGGCTGGTGCTCGCAGTGATTTTGTTTGGCTCGTGCTGATGTGCCATTGGACGTGTTCTTTTATATATTACACAATGAGTTTTAAATCGACATGGGAGAACCACAGTGCAAGACGTGCAGGGAATATTCAGCCCAACACTTCTTGCAACATCTTAGAACTGTAATCAACTACAAACTGGTCATGTTTGGTGCATCTTCAGGCATCTTGGACTGCATACGCCAGTTGCCTGGTCATGTGGGCAACGAGGTTTCTTCCACTTTTGCAGCATATGGCAGCAACCATCCGACCAAAATCCAAACGTGTCCGAAAGTCTTCTGTGGGTGTATACGATATGCCAGGAACTCATGGAATACTCTGAACACACACACACTTGCCTCCTTTTGCTCAGCTGCATATCAAAAGGCTGGAGATTTGGCCATTCCCGGTGTGACGCCATTCTTTGGGGGGGGGAACGTCTTGCGCATCCAAATCCTCTGGTTCCATGCTGAGATGCTCCAAAGATCCCATTCCTTGCTGCTCACTTGAGTCAAAGACCAGCCAACACGGCAGTCGCTAGCTCCCTGCCGCTGTGCTCCCCACTGGAAGGGGTGATTAAGCTGGACTTCTGCCAGAAGGGCTCAACCAGATCGTCCACCAGGCGTTCGTTCGTCGGACCCGACGGCCAAAACACGGGAAAACCACGGAGTTCGTTCGCGGTCAACACCAGCGCAAGGGACCAGCACATGAGGCAGACCGCCACGGAACCAAGAGAGGTAGCCAGGTCTCCCGGGACCAGGTTGGACCACGGAAAACCAAAGGGGTATCCCAGTCCGCCTGGGATAGTCGAACGCACTCGGGTCATTCAACAACCTCTGTTGGAATTCTATAGACACCACCCATGTCTTTGCCATGTCTTGGCACGGTAAGACCGTGCAGTTTTTCTTCAACCAGCAGTGAGATTTCGGCCTGATTTACGTAGGCTCTTGACCCAACCCGTGCACAGTTTGTGAGCCCCATGTGTTTCTTTCGGTCCTCGCGGAAGGTGGCCATGGAATGCCTCAGAGTACTTAAGTTATTGTTTGTGTGTCACAACACCAAGCACAAACCACATTGAACTCTTGACAGTCTTCATGGCCTTCCTACAAAAGTGGTGGGGAAGCCACACACCATAGAACACACCCCTAACAGCTCAAGCACCAGAGGGGCGGTCGAAACCGAAACCCAGCAAGGCGGTCTACCTGAAAGAAAGGATCAGAAAAGGTCTATCTTGCTCACGCGTTGACCATCTTTGACCGTTTTCGTGTGCATGGGAATGGGCGGTACCACCAATCGATCGGCTAGCCAACTTTGCTGGAAGCGGAAGCTCCTGCTGTAGCTTCCGCTTTGTTGGGGCCGGGGTTGAACCATCCATCATGTCGGGACACATATATATAGAGGTCATTTCCGGGAAGAAACACGACAAAACACAGAGGATGGAGATCTGTAAACGGACATGAAACCGCCCGGAGTACTCTCTGGTCAAGGAAACTGTTGCCAAAATGCCACATGAGTGGCGGCTGTGAATTTGCTCGAGCTCGTCGAACCTGGGAAGAACAAACGGCGGAGGAGCAAAATCAGATGCTCCGGGGGCCTTCCGACGGTGCCTGGAGATCTTCGTGGCTGGGGTGACGAACAGGTCTTGAGATACGAACCGACCAATCCGAGGTCACGAGTGGAAGGTCAGAAGTCGTCCAATAGAGAGAAGCTGAATCTGGGAGGATCCTCCCCCAAAAGTGAGTGCCATTGGCAAATTTGCTTTGGACATCTTCCATGTTCCAGTGGACATCGGTTTATAGTATTTGTCATTGTCCATTGTTCAGAACTATGACTACCACATTCTTACGCCCAAAAGGTCCAGCTAATGCTGCGGCAAGGTAGATGGTGAAGTTCGGACTCCGTGGGATGCAAATCATGGAGCCATTGGCTGGATGTGGCGTTCCCAAGTGTTCATTTTCTTAAAGGATCGCTGCTTCAACCATTTGAGGAGACCTGGCAGGAAGAAAGACCACCCGCCCAAAGCAAACTTTCAGTAGCCAATCTAGGTTCAACTTCAACGGGTTTACGATAGTATATTGCATACATTGGATGACTTAGATCACGTATGGCAGCTGACACTCCAAACGTTGCTCCGTCTTTGTATAGGTCTAGGGATCCAGTCGTACCTTGTCAGGTACGGTGATGTGTTCGACACTGCTATGTAGGTGCCATTATCGGGTCCAGTCGTACCTTCTGAGGTTCAGCACGACTGGATCCCTAGGGGAGCGATCCGTCAAACGTTGCTCCGTCTTTGCAAAACCTCCCCAAACGTTGGAGCCAAGAAGAGCAGCACTTCGCTGCACGAGCCATCTCCCGCTGGGGGGAGCTTAGGCCGCCCAGTCAAAGAGTTTGGTGGAGAACAGGATGGCAATTTGGAAGCCAGTCAAGTTCGGTGGACATGTTGCATAGTTGGAAGATCTTAGGTATTTGGGAAAACCTGTCAAGTCCTTCCTTCGTCTCATTCATCTCACACCTGACGATAGATGCCTCATGAGTAGCTTCTTGAAATGCCGAGGAACTGCAAAGCGCCATAGCCATCGATGGCGACTTCTGTATAAGTTCCAATACACTGGAGACTCAGCCTGCGCCCCGACACCGCGCAGGCTGAACGACCAGACCTTCACACCTGGTGCAGCTGGGTCACGCCTGATAGGAGTAGACTAGGGTGACAGATGGGTGACAGTTAGACCAGTGTGAACAACAGGAATACATAGTATACATGTATTTACATGTGCAATCCATCTATCTCGATCTCTATCTCTCTATCTAACCTAATCTAATCCGATCTGATCTAATCTGTCGATTCATCCATCCATCTATCTACCTATCGATTATATGTCAATATGTGTATGAGCTCCGTAGCAAAACTTGGGTCAATCAAGGCGATAGTAGAGGCCAGCATATTCCGACCACGAAAAAAGTCGCACGTGACGTGCTTTCAATATTTGTGTATCTATCCAAGTCGAGTATAGGCAGTATAGGTTAAGGTCATAGAGACTGAAGATCATCCATGCTTCTTCAGTCCAACCCTCGCGGGAAGCAGACCCGGCGCGGCGGATACCACCGGACGCCGCCCACCACGCCTGCGGTGCTTCAGGCGCCACCCACCTTGACGCTCTTCGGCTTCAGGGCGGCTGCGGCACGGTCGGCGCCTGGCGTGGTGAAGACGGTCGTCTGTTTGGGGCAGAGGTTCGATGGCACCATGCCCAAGCAACAGAAGTTGTTGAATGACCCGAACGTTCGACTATCCCATACCATGAATACCCCAGGTTTTCCGGGTCCTATTTACGGTCACTTAACCTGTCTTGGAAGATTGGTGGTGCAACTTTCGGGGTGCCAGTGCCAGAGCTCAGCTCTGATGGCCCACTGTCAACCATGAGCTGTGGTAGAAGTTGGACCATATCCCAAACACGACACAGGGGACTGCCATAGGACTGCCGCCCCAGAGGTCGACCCCTCTGGCACCAGCCCTGGCCGTTTTGAAGGCAGTCCGCCCTGGCAGTCCCAGACGTGTCGTGTCTGGGACAGGTTTACTGGGACACACTTAAGTCACTTCAAGTCACAGGTTCATCCATCATGGACGTCCACAGTGAAAGGGCACGAGAAAGAACGGCACGGAAGTGACGGAGTCAGCGCACTTGGAATGTGTTGGGGTGGAAACAGTAACGGTCCAACCATCGAGCCGCCCACGCCCTCGAAGAGAAGCCCTTCGCTTTCGCCACACCGGAACGGCTACGGACGAGAAGCGAAGCGAAGCCGGAGGCGAAGCGGCGCAGCCCGGTCACGTGGCTGACCAAGCACGTTCATTAAGGTCTCTACCCAGACGCTCCAAACAGCCCTTGGTCCCTCAAAACCTACGGGTTTGAGACCCCAGACCCCTCCATATGAGGGCCCATGAGCGTCTGGGTAGTCTCTATAGGCTAAGAATCATTGGACCCGAGCACTTCTGGAGGGTTTGGACGAACGCAGCTGCCGCAGGGGCGACCCGACGAACCAAACCTTCACCGAACGGGTCGGGTCCTGGATTCTCTGGCAACAAATCCGGCTACCTCTGGTCTCACTGCCTCCATGGGACTGCCTTCAAAACGGCCAGGGGTGACTGCCAGAGGGGTCGACCTCTGGGAAGGCAGTCCGACAGACATGGAGTGTCTGGGCTGTGTCTCACTCTTAGCTACTACGATCGACTTATCACCCCAACGCACATAATAATACCAGCAGTCACGTTCGACGGGGTGCGATCCATGGAGGTTAGGGGTGCTCAGAACATCTACTCACGCTACCACCCCGACCATGTGACTGCTGGTATATGAATTTTATCGTGACTCTTGAGTAACAGTAGCCAACCTCAACGTCCACCTACTACAGTTCACCTTTTATCTCATATATACCACGCAGCGTCACGCAACCTCCTATCTCCAACCCAAACAGATCCCCCCAAAACGGATCATCCAACACATCCAAGGAGGTCTCAGCACTCAGCACTCTCGCCCCCGCCTTCCTGCATCATTCCCTTGCTGGTCTCGAGCGCCTTCTCCGTCTCACTTCCTCGGTGAAGGTCGCATCGGAGCACCACCGATGGCGAAGGGATGGCGAAGGGATCCACCGGAGAAGATGGAATCCGCAGATGGACGTCGCATCTTCATGCCCGTTTGGGGCTCCAGTCGTAGCTTCGCTCCAGGTTAGGCGTGACTGGACCCGGCAATGGCACCCACCCCAGTCCCACCGAACCTCAGAAGGTACTTGGAGCGCTAGGGATCAGCTTTTGGGTCCCTGAATTGCTTCAAGCTCTTTGAGGACAGGAGCTGTTGCTTTTTTCCAACCGCTGGTCCAGTGGTCTGTCGATGTTGACAACAACTCTCAGCATTTCGATGTCTGGATGCTAATTGGAGTGTATACATGGGGTGCCTCTGTCACATCCATTCATTCACATGTTTGGAGACTCAACACTACGTTTTGGAACTCCTGTTCTGCAGATCTCGATCAAGGTCCTATACACTATCCTTCTGACAAAACGACAGAAAACACATGAACACATCTGAAAAACCATGGCCCCTACTGACCTCGACATTCCCCCCCCAAAAAACGTCTCACCTACTACGTACCTATACCCCCCTCTCCTTCGCCCTTGGCCGCCCAACCATGGCCACCCTCCTCCGCTGGCGCTCCGCTTCGTGGCCGTGCGTCCGGCGGTCTTCGCCGCCTGGGAGGTCTCGGTGGCCACAGCCTCGCCGGCGGCTTGCGCCGAGGCCAGGGCGTCCTGGCAGCGGCGGTGGGCAGCGATCTCGCGGGGGACGGGCGGGAGAGGCGGGCGAGGCGGTCGTGTGGCGGTTTTCAAGGGTTGCCAATTGCAAAAGGGGGTGGGTTGGGCATTGTTTTGGGAATCTGAAGAGAGAATTGGAGTTTGACGAGCAGTGTGAGCTAAAACATGATGGGAAAGAAGATCTCTCATGCGTAGTCTCATGGTCTCAAATTGTCCAAGTCATTGCACATTTGGCAAGGCAAATCAACGGGGTATTCCTCCGTCTTCGCGAAACACCAATCCTGAGGAGTTGAAGTAGGACCGCTGCACTCGTGCAGCGTGCCTTTTGGTGTCTCTTGGCTTGGTTGAACCCGTGTCCTGGAAAGTCACTTTCGACCTCCCAAAAATCTGAAGACGGAGGACCCCTGCTCCAACCATTGCGTCAGCCTCCAAAACCGGAGAGTTACAGGGGACACATCCTGGACACACCATGTGTTTGGTTGATGTCCAAACATAGGGTATTGAAAAGAACTCAATACTAAACTGCTAAGCGCGGGGTCATTTCATCAGCCCACATGGACGTTGGCATGTGTTGCTTATGAACCATTCGGCCGGCCGTCCATGTGTTGGCACGGCAGCACATCGATCGACCGCTGCTCCATCCGCCCATCCGACCCGTAGGTGAATGACGACCGAGAGTCCCCCACCGTCCATGGCAACAGGTTGAGGAAAGAGGCGAGTCTGCGCAGCATAGAATAGACCATGCGCAGCGATATTTTTGCATAAGGGGATGCTTTGTTAACTTTGCACATATCCACATCAAGAAGAGCAATCCATTGGCGCGCCCTCGAAAACGCCCTCCCTGTGCCTCCACTTGAGACTCTGCCAAGGGTTGATCACTGGGCGGCACGCGGCGGCACGCGTGAGTCTGAGTCAGACTGTTGTGGGAAACTGCGGGGGTTTCAATGGGGTTCGTTGTCCACTCAATCGACGGAAAAGACACCAACAATTGGTCAATCTTGGGCAACCCTTCGAGTTTGCCCTCACATAAACCATGAGAGATGGGTCAACATGTTTGTGTGCCCTACTCATCCAGCTAAGTAGCTAGTAAAGTAGAGTGTGTGGGGACATACGAACAGGATCGAACATGTTGACAAACAATTATACAAAACAAAAAGGTAACATGCCAACAGCCAACGACCTGCCACCTCAGCAAAGATAATCGTGCACAAATCCGACATTACTTTTTGATGCAAATTGGAGCTTGATAATTACAAATGACAGGAAGTGAGACAGTTTAAGCTTGCAGGAACGTGTACCCTTCAAGTTCTATAACAAGCATAAGAGGCGTCGAGGACACGCGAAGCAAAGACGTGATAAGACTTGATACGATCAGGAGGGCACGGTGGCAGGAGTGATTTGCAACCTTTTCCCCTACTCGCATGGCTCATCATGGCTCACTCTCCAAGTTTTTCACTCGCTGTTCCCATTTAAACTCAACTAACGCAACGCGGAAGACATCCACGGAAAGGATCGATCAGACGTGCGGTGCCGTTAAACCGCGTTTCCCGTCGCCACGGCACTTCTTGCCCACGACCAGCTCCATGGTCGCCTCGTAGCCTTGTGCGGTCTTCTCCTCGGCCGACGAAGGCGGCTCGCTGTGGTGGAAGGACCGCTGGACCGGTCAAACGACTTGGGGAGCCGGTGGCAGGAAGATCCTTTCGTCAAACGTGTTGATGGTTCCACCAAAGGAGACTCCAGTGGTTTTTAGAGGGTTGATATTTGGTTCCACAGGTCAAGTGTTTGCTTTGTCATCCTACGTTGCAGCCTGCATGCACCACGCGTTGCAAACAAAACAGGTCACAACCAAATTGGGGGCCTCCTATATACTTCATCTGCTCACCCAAGAAAACATCCATGGCTTGTAAACAGCTCTCTCTATGATGAATGTCCCCGGTAGGCTGGGATCATTCATGTAACGCCAAGTGTTCAAACATGAATCTTGGACTAGAGAGGCCCTGGGGCGCCACTGGATGTTGTCCATGCTTCAACTTTAAAGCATCCCGCTGTTCTAGTACCAATTTGCTCAACGACCAATCAACACGCCATCAGTCTGACTTCCCTGACTTCGGCCAACCGAAGCACTTAACCTTCACTGCGGCAAAGTTTGATTGGGCCCGGGAACAAGAACGGAAGAGACCCATCAACATGGAGCACCATGGACACACAAACCCATTTGGCCAAACCATCGGACAACATTCAGTGGGCAACCTGTCAATATAACATAACCAGCTTAAGAGGTTCATTTAGGCTAAAGCTTTGTTTTCAACATAAAAACCAAACAAGTACTGTGACCGGTGCCATGCTCCCTGAACCGTTGGTCAGATCCAGGTCGCTTGCACCGTTGAGAGGCACATGGTGAAGTTGCTCCTCAGCAACGCGACGCGACGCGAAGACGAGGGTGAGAAACATCGGTCACCATTTTTCTTTACCAGTGCAGAGTTTGGGAATGATTTGGGTATTTCAAAAACATGTCAATTATGGTGGAGATGCCACCTCAACCATTTGGTTTGGAGGAGTAAAAGAACTGATTTTGACTGTTTCTCAGGGAGTATGGGCGAGGCATCAATAACACACTTTTGCCTAGCCTACAGAGGGTGCAGGTCGGACAAAACAAATCAACCATTCAGAAGAACGGTGTCCAAACACAATCTATGGAATCAATCCCTCGTACACCACTTCCATCCGAGATATGATCATAATATGAAATCATGACATATCATGACTGACCATATTTCAGCATATTTCCCGCATCGCGCATCCGGCAAACAAGCTCTTCGTACTGCTCCTCGTATCAGGGAATATCTCTGAAACTTGTTTGCTTCGCAAAGATTCAGATTGCAAGAAAAATGTTCTCCTTCGGAAGTCCTTGAGGACGCTTTCCCACCCACTTTCCACTCCTCTGGAGTTCTTACCATTCGGCAAAATCCACCCCTTGGCGATCTCCACTCCACGGATCTTCGCGCCGAGCATCTGGAAACGCTCGGCCCAGCTGGCGACGACTTCCCTGAGCACCCGGTCTTCCCGTCCGACGAGTCGAAGCGAGGACGAACACCGGAGAGTGATAGGGCTCCAAACGACGTGGCCGTGGGTAGTTCTGGGTTGGGAAGAAAACACGCATCCCGCAGCACATGGCCAGGCAGCACAGGGAAAGTCACTCTGAAAAGCACGACTGTCAGTCGCGGATATATCGCCCCTACCCTCCCCGGAACCTTTGGCTTAAACTCTATCGAATTGCCAAATGGTTTCCATCATCTTCGTTTGCTTCATAGGACTTCCAGGGCACCGGTCCGAGCCGCGCGGAAAAACCAACACGGTCACGGTCTCGGGTTCGATTCCCTCCTGGTCGCGCGCGGTCCAGGAGATGCGTTTGGAGCAGAATTGAGGCGGAGGCCATCGCTGCTAGGGTGGAGGCCATTGCTACTAGGGTTTCTACATCATTAAGGTCAACTCTGGGCCATTCACCATCGGAACCTGCTGCTCCGCTTCCTTTAGTCCCATGTCTCGATCGAACCAGCTGCGAATCCAAGCTGCTGGGTGTCGGTGGTGGAGGACGCCGCACCGGACGCCGCACCGCTGCCACTTCCAGCCATGTACTCCTGAGGTACGCAAACATTCATCCGGGCACCATTCACTCAATGTCAATGCAGAATCTGGGCCCCCCAACCACCAAATGCGAGTGGAAAGCCTAGAACATCAAGGACATCAGCTTATCAAATCTTCACCCCAAATTTGAGAAAGCATCTGGGCCCACCCAAAGCCCGAAAATGCGAGCGCAGGACCTCGGACATCAACCAGAATTAGAGCTTATATAAAGCTTATATAATGTATAACCACTATATAATACACAATTATCTTTATAGGTAACGACATTTGGAGTTTTTGTGAGTTGAATGATCTTGAAATATCTTGAATCTTCACCAGTGATGCTTTGCAGTGTTTTTGCGTCTTCCCCATTTGGCCAATCTCGTTGGTCACCCGACCGGATCACAGGTCCAAAAGTCCAAGCCAAGTGAGGTGAACTTGGTATGCTTCATGGGTCACGTTGGCACCGTCCTATGCTTGTGATCTATGGCTCTGCCCAACCTGCAAACACTGCAGTACGACAAGGTGTCTACACAAAACTAGACTAACTAATACATATTATAGTATACCTTATACGAGTATATAGCAAGTAATTGGAAGTCATCCCACTGCCATGTTTAGCTCCTTCATTTCTGGTTCTCCAACAAGGTCGCCACACGGTCAACACTCTTTCCGTTCTCGGACACAGTCGACGCCTTCGCCGCCGTATAGGTTTGGGAGGTCTTCTCGGACACAGTGCTCACACCCTGATTGAAGCCTCGGACGCACGTGCCGAGACGGTTTTCCTGTGGGGGGAAACTGGCACGCCCACTGCCTACGACTGATTACTATTGTACTACCCACGCAGGTTCGGGAAAACCCAACCCCCAAAAAGCAACATCAAACGCCGTGGCAGTAGTTCTATCTGCTTCGATTTGTGCCTTTCGCCATGCCAAAAGAAAGCTGGATCAACTCTGAAAAGGTTCCACCTGGTTCTTCAGTACGTGACCGAACTTGATCACCTGGTTGGTTCGGTCATGGTCTCAAGCCTCCGGACTCCGGTCACTTATATATATAGGAACCTTCAAGTTGGGTCACGAACTGAAGAAGCTGGCAGCGGATCATCACATGAATTTCCCGTTGGTCCAACCGAGCCCATGATCATCCATGATCGTTGGCGAAAAAGCCCGACCGACCAGCTGCCGACCGACCAGTCCGCCCTTGAGTCGGACGCGTCCTCGTCCTGTGAACCGCCCTGCCAGCCAAGGTCTCAGATGGAGGTCTTAACAGGGGGACGGATTGGGAATCCGAGAAGGGACGCACATGGCACCCATCCCGGAAGCGTTGGACCGGAAGACAGATGCTTCACAAATGCCGTGGTTCTATAGGTTTCATGTGGGTCTCTTCCAGGGAGATTCACACCGTGGGCCAGGGACGCAGCAGGTTGAGAGACAACATTTGGGTATGGACCCAGGGCCCAGTGGATGGTCATGGTGAAGTTGCAGGTCTGCATCTCTAAAACAGATAAAATGTGATATACTGGATTGAGAGGACCAATGGCACAGACCCCAAGGTCGGTGGTTTATATGAACCCCGTGTGGTCAGGACATCTTGAGGTCTGTGCGATCTACTCTGAAACGACTGTAAGTGATAAGTATTGTTCACTGCGACCTAGAGACGTCGACGTCGACGGCATGGAGCACACGTGGTTCTTCACGACCACTCGACGACGTGCGTTTTCCGGTACACTCGACGACGCGACGACTCCGTTCGCTTGGTCCGTTGCGCTTTTTCACGTCAACGACGGACGAGATGGGATCTTTTCTTGGAGGATTCTCCAAACCCATTCAGACTTCAAGTGGGCGAATGGGAAAACCTGACGCCTTCCTCAAGAAAACGACCATGAAACGTCATGAAACGTCGCGACATGTCCTCTCATGATGAGAGGACCATGAGACATGCCCCATGATTTCAACCCGTCCAGACTTCGTTTCGACCCTCGTTTCGTTGGGGATTCGTTTCGCCCACTCAGACCGCCAAGACACCATCCTTCAGCGACCTGACCGCTACGGCGGTGAAGAAGAAAGCGGGTTCCGGCGGGAAAGAAGAACTGCCGTGGAACCCGGAAAAAACCGGGTGAACAGGTTCGATGCAAAGCGGGGTGGATCTATAGATCCTCAGGCAAAGAAGAAGACTTCTTTCTATAAGTTTGCCTGTGCTTTCAGTTGAGTCAAAGATTTTTCTGTAATAGAGTTCTCCCGGGGCTTCTTACTTCTAAGAGTTGTGCCATCTGATCCATTATAAACATGATAACTGCGATTCAAACATCTGCGATCAGCTATCATGCAGGATAATACTGATTGCTGCATGGGAATCCATTGCCCATCAATGGGAATCTGCACCGTGTAGGTACCAATTTGCACCCCTTGGGATCCTTTTTTTGGTAGATTGACTTATACATGTGTTTTTGGACCTACACGACGTGTTCCTCTTAAGAACCATTTAACGGATCAGCTCGGAGGAGGCGGAGAAGGCTCGTGAGGCTTTGGACCATGAGGCGAGGAGGCTTTGGACCCATGGGAGAACCCCCAAGGTCCTGGCGGTAGAACCAAACCATCCATGGGACTGGCATACTCACACAGTCCATGGGACTGGTATATATAATATATGCATCATATATATGCCTAGCCTACATCGACCCCAGGTCCAATGGATGCAAATGGCTGCCAGACCCATGGATGGGGTGAATGTGGCTCCTGGGTCATGGCAGGATAGGCAAACCGACAGGTTGACCTACCTGGTTTTGAGCCATCCCTATGAGTCGGTACATGTTCCAGTCCCAAACAGGTCGTGTCTGGGTGTCCTTGCACCCAAACAAGTATATATAGATGCCGTAGGCATTCGTAGGCATTCGGAGGATCTGAACGAAGAGAATCCAACCTCCCCAAACATCCAACGATTTAATCAAAGGCTCGTCCAAAACACATGGTGAACACGTCGCTACGTGGCTTGCGCGCATGACTCGCATGACGATCTCTTTGCTTCCCCTAAGGGTCCACGACCATCCTGAGGATGTCCTTGGAAGCACGAACTCACCTCCGTTCGACCATCCTCAGAAGGTACCTGGACCCTATGGCTTCTTGGCTGCACCAAATCACGGCCGATCTTTGTCCAACGAAACCGGTGCGCGAACCACGATGCGCATCCTCGACACTCGTGGAACACGATCAGCTCGCTCGTCTTTCCGGGATCCGTTGTCGTACCGAACCGACCCGGTTCGGTACGACTGGGCCCAGACCCATGGCGCCTACATCATGGTGTCTCCGTCCTCACCGTAACTAGGGTTCGGTACGACTGGATCCCTTTTTGGTGCATTTTCTTTAAACCAACCTATAGGGCATCCGAACGGGCTGTCCGCAGCGGTCGGACCGGGGTTCCGGGGCTGGAACCACTTTAGGCTGGGCCCGGATTCTGATCCCGTTTGGGCTCCGTTTTCGTACCTCCGAAACGGTTCGGTGTGACTGGACCCGGCAGCACTCACCCCAGTCCCACCGAACCGAAACGAAGGTACGAAAACGGAGCCCTAACGGGCATAGGGAATTTGAATGAGGTGTATGTGTATGTCCTGTCCCGTCTGTATGTATGTGTGTACGAGGGTCCGTGCGTCCGTGCGTCCGCGCAACGAGGGGAGGGTCCGCGCGTCCACGTCCCGTCTCCTCAAAGCCATGCAAGCACCAAGGAGTGGACGATGCCCACATGTCGACTGGTATTGTCTGAACACCAAGCAAACCAACAGAGGTAGCCAGGGGTACCGTAAATCTTCAATAAGACCCGGAAAACCCGGGGTACCTATAAGATAGTCGAACGTTCGGGTTCTTCAACCTCTGCTGGAATGTCCGAACAAACATGGAAACACATCTTCATGACCAAGTCACAGAATTCTCAGGCATATATAGATCTCAGTCAAAGAAAAAACACTGTTGTGCTTGAAAGGCAAAGGATATCTCAGTCTGACTCAGGTGGTTCAGAGCATTGTTTTTGTGGGGTTCCATATGGTGGTCCTCTGGGGATTCTCACTCTCTGCAGCCAAAAGGGCTGGGTCCAGCTCTGTGTCTCAGGGCCGTTGATCATCGTTTTGGCCGCCTCGTAGCCTGGAGCTGATCGATCCGCGATCCGCGATGCGCGCGGTCGGTCCGTGTGCGGAGCGATCAGTCGTGGCCTGGTAACCTAGTCATGTAGCCACCGCCTGAATTCGAAAGGTTCTGCAGTGATTGCAGAACAACACCAGGTGTCCAGTCTATTCCATTCTACTATACTTCTGGTGCTCCATCATATGGCAACATGGACGTGCATCATGAAGGAGGGAACACGTTTGGACTTGAGCTTCAAATCGTTGCGTAGTAGAATGAGGAGATCACCAAAAACCATCTGACAAAAAGACACATCGGTGGCCTGTCTTTTTGTTTGTTTGGTTCACTTGGTTGCTGAAGAACCTGATATTTTTTGCTTCTGATAATTTATCTGGCCTCACATCACTAGAGGCCTCACATCACTAGATAATCAAGAGTCACCTGCAAATGCCATGGAAACATTGACCTTGTTCACCTTCAAGATCCCCAACAATTGGTTTATGAATGTTTATGAACTTTGTTCGAAATAGGTGAGATTTGGAACCAGTGGGGCTCGTGCATCAAGCATCAGCTTCCATCGGCTTCTGGCCGAGTTTGGTTCATGTTTCCTTGTGAACAACGGAACCTCCGTGAACTGGACTTAGATTTGCGTTGTTCCCCGGAAACCCATGACAAAAAGCATATATATATATATATCCCCCAAGTATATGGGTATTTTTGCCATAAAACAAATAACAAAATCACCTGATCCGTAAAAACAGGTAGATGATGGCCTGGTAGATGATTAATTAGTCAGTGTTGCTTGCTTACACACCCTAGCTGCACATGTTGCAGCCCAACACCACCTGGAACTTGCCTTGACCTCCCCATCCTGCGCGGTTCCTGCGGTGTCTCCACCTTCACGTCGCCTCGCCCCACGGATGGCAGCGGCCGGTCGGCACCTTGCATGGTCTTCTCGCTCACGCTGTTGAAGCCCTGGTGGAAGCCATCCTGCCGCACCAAACGAAAAAAACCAGACAAGCATATCCCAGACACTCCATGGGACTGCCATATATGCCTACATTGACCCCCCAAAACACCCCAACTGATCGGCATATATGGCAGTCCCATGGAGTGTGGGCCGAGGTTCGAGGGCACGGACCTTGGCCCCCAAGTTTTGGTGGCTTATATGGACCCCAGTTGAGTTGGTGCCATCTACTTGAAACATATTATCCCGGCAAGAGACCCCAAACAGTGTAGCGGTCACATACGACGAGCTCGAGAAAGAAGCGATTGTTTAAGTGGAGAAGGACATATAGAGGGAGTAGTACTTGGAGGCAAAGCTCCAACCTCTAAAGGGTGTGGGTAGAATGTCCCTTCCCTTCATGTCCCTTCCGTTCTCTCGACTTCCCCTTGGGTCAACCAACCCCCAAGCCCTCCCCTCCCCTCCCTCCGTCTGCCCTTCCGGTCCCTCATCTGATCCATCCAGCTGCTGGCGGCCGCGCCGGGCTGCACCGCCGCGGCGGCGTCGGACGCCGCCGCGGCGCCCGCCTTGGTCGGCGAGTGGTCGCCGGTGAAGGTGACGCCCAGATCCATGTCCTGCAGCTGGAACCACTCTTTCAAAGGACGAATGTGATCTCTTTCAAAGGACCATGTGATATGTGGTTTTGTTTTGGGGGGCATAAACTGAGACACGAGACACTGCATCATCATCACTGAATTCATGCATTTGGGTGCGGTGAAGACTCACGCACCTTCACTTACCATATATGAACTTCAATATATTAAGCACTTGGTTTTCTTCAGTGACCGAGACTCACGCCTCACCCACGCCATGCCGAACGCATTGCTTGCGCCGCTCCGCAACGGTTTCGGCACCGCGGAAGAGCGATCGGCGGCCCGACCAGCACCTCGACCAGTGGCCCGACCGGTTTCCCATGAACCCATAAAGGTATTCACACATACCAGGGCCTCCGGGTGTTTGGGGTGTCTAATTATAGCTCCGTATCGAGGTTGAGGGGTATCCATTAACCACCCCGACTGGGGGGCCTGGTAGAAACCCATGGCTTCTCACTAGGGACAACCAGGAGTTTTGGATGGTTTGGGGGGGAGGCCTGGTTCTTGGCGTGTTGCATTTCATGAGCCCCGCAGAATTGGTCAGAAGTCTCATATGTATAAATACCACGACTCAGAATGGCTTATGGAAGGTGTTTGATCAACATCAAAATGGGTCGTTCGGTCGATACCCTCAGACAGCCCAATTCGTTGGTGTCGCTGCAGAGTTCCCAGGAACCTCACGGAACGTCGGGAAAAGGCCGTTGAAGGTGAATACGACACTCTTGCACATCAATCCCAGACACTACTGGGAATGCCATATATGCCATATTATGCAATATACCCCTGAAACAAAGCAGCGAGCAGTCGCTGCCGTCAGCCGTTTTCCACCGAGGCGGATGCGTAACCTAAGGCTTGAGGCGCCTAAATGCCATCGGGTAAACACGACGCTCTCTCAGTCCGGATCAATGCCGATCGAACAAGTTCGCTTCTTCAGTAGATATCTTTTCTTTCTTGATCCGAGACTGGAAAACGCTCACCAAACAATCTGCCACACAACCAAGAAGCTCCTGCTTCTTTCCGAGTAGAGTCAAATCCTCTTTCGACTCCAAAACCCTCCACTCCGAGCGACCATCTTCAAGGTCAAATCTTCCATATGTACTTCGGAGGGGAAAACGCCAAACACTGTACCTAGCATCGGGAACTCGAAAGGATTTCGCTCCATAAGCGACGTGAACTACCAAACCCGATTTCTGATGCCACCCGGGATTCCTACAAACATTCAGCAGGAACGGGAGAATTGGCATTTTGCCTTCCAGGGGAACACCAGGCAACGGCCCTTTCACTGCAGCATCAGTGATCTTCTTCTTCTTGGGCTGTTTCACGTAGTTGGCATTAAACACATAGCTCCATCGTCCACAATCTAGGATTTTGTGCAGGTGGTCAAGTGGCATTTCCTTGGTACCTGCGTCAACCCACATGTTGGCTGTCGCCGTCCACTTGAGTGAGGTGTTGGCTCCTCCAAGGGTAGCCCTGATCCAGGCTACTGAGAAGGCGAGTGACTTCTGCGCTCCATACGTGTTGGTGTCACTGTTTCCTCTGTCGAAAGTGTCCTTGGCATCTGTAATTGCCGTCATCGGGATCACCTCCATGACTTTATGAGCGTCTCTCCGCTCCATCGGAAGACCAGCCAGCACGCTGAAACATCCACGACAGAAAACACCAGCGTCCATTGCCTCCTCCAAACCAAGGGTTTCAGAGCTGTACGTCGATCGACAGACTCTGGGAAGTCGATGACTTCGTGCGTCCAAAACATTGAACCACCCTTCTCGTCCTTGAAGAAGGTTTTCATCACAAACCAAAATGAAGTAGGAGCTCTGGCTGTACAACTTCTCTTGACCTTCAACACCACCGGACTTTGTGGTATTTCCCAAGGAGGCGTCCGAAATCACAAGGATCCCTGCCTTTTCCAAAGGAAGGTCACGGAAAACCAGCTTGAAGTCGCTCCGCCGTTTGAACTCTTTCACTAGGAGGTTTGCCTTTGTCAACGTGGCTACACATGGTTTCTCACCTTGGAGTGTGCTGAGGGCATAGGCTTGGTCGAATCTCAGCTGGGCTACCAACCATTGCAAAGAACCTAAAATGGCTCTGAGTTGGCGACGTTCACTGTCGCTCAATTCTGCTTGTGGCATTGCCCTGCGAGAAGTTGGAACTGCCACTGGCTTCAAATTGCTGTGGTACTCCACCATGGACAACTCAATCTCTCCAGAGGGCACCATTCGGATTCGTTTTCCACAGAAGACGAAGTCGTCGAACTCCACTGTCCCGAATCCAAGCTTGGCACCGATTGCCATCAGGCTCTCTTGAGCTTTGGAGTTGCCACCAAGCAAAAGATCATCAACATGGGATATGACCATCCCTTCCAGCTGTTTTCGATCTTCTGACCACAGCATCCAACAAGCATAGTCAATGACACTTCTCTCCCAACCGGCCTCCAAAAACGACTGGTTGAGCTTGAGGTACCATTGTCTTGGCGCATCAGCAAGACCAAACACGCCCTTGCGAATCTTTGCCAACTGGTTGCCAAAAGGAAGCTTTGGATCATCACCCTTCACGTTTTCCAAAAACAACTCCCTGGTCCCCTCCATGTATGCGTCGCCCTTCAAGAAGGCAGACTTCACATCAGCACTCATCAATCTCCAGCAATCCTTTGGCTCCGGATGTCTTTTGGAGTTGTGCGCCGTGTAGATGAAGAGCAGGTGTTGGGAGATTCTGGAACCAGTAGGCGCATCTTTGCGCAACGCGAAGGAGAACACATCCTTGTATCCTGGCACGATCACTCTGGCACGGGCTTTGAGCGGCAAAGGGTTTTGAGCTGTTCGCAAGCTTTCATGGCGATCAGTGAAAACATACCGCGGAGTGAGTATGCGGCTGTCTTCTTTGCAAGCTTTGAGCCTCTTTCTCACTTCATCAGACTCTTCAGGCGTCAGGATCTCAATGGCATCGTTCTCCTCCCAGACTGCCCAAGCCTGCTTGGCGGCTTCTGCAAAGGCGATCTTCTCATCACTGGTCATGGAACGCCAGTGGAACTCTTTGCGCGCGGCTTGAACAGCATTTACCTCCTGGGTCGAAGGTGCACCAGTAGGCCAAGGAACTCCTAGACGTTGATGAACTTGCCATTCAGAACGAGATGGTAGATCCCATCTTCCACCCCAGCTGCCATGGTCTTTCACTTCACTCTCCAAGGGATCCATGCGATCCAAACAGGCTCCAAGCTGAGCTTGCCTCAAAGGATGCACATTTGGTTCAGCTAAACGCTCCAAGATCTGTTCCTTGGAAAGAACATGTACTTCATGATCAACAGGGTTGACTCGGCTCACTTGCAACTGTTCACTATCAGGCCCACGGGCAAACTCTTCACCTTCTTTTCTCAGGGAGTCTGGATCTTGTTCGGCAGGTCGTTTCTGTCCACCACTCTCTTCACGGCTTTGGTCAAGCCTTTGAGCTCTTTCAATTGCAGCGCCCAGCAAAGGTGCACTCGTCTTCCTTTCTCTCATGCGTTGGTCCGCTTCAGGAAAAGGTGAGGCCTGGGCAAAATCACTGGTTCGTCTCGAAGGCACTGTTGACCCAACTTGTGAAGGGATCTGAGGAGTCGCTGGAACAATCATCGGAAGAAATTCACGAGCACCCACAGGCGGCAGGTCTTCACCACGCAAAGGAGCACCCTCCTCTATGGGGATGCCAGCCGACGACGAAGGAAGGAAAGCAGGGGTTGCAGGATTCCGCAACTCATCATCAGCTTCTGTCACACCATCCTCTTCCGGCAACAACTGAACTTCTCCGGCACCAGGAAGTGGAACATCGAGACGTGCTGCCTCGACTGCTTCTTCAATGGCTTCACGCCAAGTCCCGGCTGCGATCTGTTCCATGGAGCTAGCCTTGCGCACATGTTCAAGCGCGCATTTTGTGAGTTGGCCCTTGTAGGACAAGAAGGCGCTGGAATTGCCCTCCAAAGCCACTAACAAAGCAGGTCCATGCCATCTCTTCAGTGTCAAACGCTTGCGACTCACCGAGGTCTTGGTGTTGAACCGCAGGGGCCTGTAGAAGTAGCAAATGCTTCCAGGTTCAGGCAAAGACTCAAAGATGGCATCTCGAGATCGTGCCAATTCCGCCTTTCTCATTCCACGTGAGAAGTGGAGTCGAGTCATAGCTACTTTGGCCACCTCCCTCATTGCCAGCTGGCGGGCCAAACTAGGTTTGGACTCAATGAGTCCATGTTCTGCCAAACGCTGTTGAACTCCACCAAGAACGTCACCAATCATCCGGGGTTGTCGTCCGAGCGCAGCCTGATATGGTGAAGTCCCTGACTCACCATCAACATCACCATTGTAAGCCGCAACGGCTTCAGCCAGAGCGAGGTCCATCTCCTCTTTGGTCACCACTGACTTCGAACGCACAATGGCTGACATCAAGGTTTTCAGGATTCCTCCTGACTTCTCTGCGACACCGTTTTGCCATGGGGCTTGTACGGCGATGTGGTGCAGCAAGGTCGAAATGGATGAGGTCCATTCCTCCATTTCCCATGAGATGAATTCACGGCCTTGATCGCAGACCAAAACACGAGGGGCACCAAAAGTAGGAAGCCATCGAGTTGCCATGAAGCGAATCACTTCCTTAGTTGACTTGTCTGCCAAAATCTCTGCTGCTTGGAACCTCGTGGCATAGTCGGTGCAATGAGCCACAAAGTACTTCTCTCTGGCATCTTCAATCTCTAACAGATCCAAATGAACTTGGTCGCCGAGATCTTTTGGCGTCGGCAGAGAGGCTGGTCGTCTCACTTTTGGGGGCTTCCTCTCTTGACAGACTGCACACTGATGTCTCTTGGCTGCCACGATCGCCTCCAAAGGTGCTCCAGCCAAAGTCAGAGCCCGAGCAAGGCGAGTGTTGCTTCTGTGACCTGTGTTTTCATGAAGACGGCGAATCGTCGCCTTCACACTGCCAGGGATCACCAGCTTTTTCTCATCTGGGGACACTGCGAACTCCTC